CCAGCTTTGACTATATCTATGTAGAAAAACACGTTAGGGGCCTCAATTGACTAGAAAATCACAAAAAAAACCAAATCTACCGGCAGAGAGGACCTCTGGGTGCAGCAGCTCGGCCGGTCCTCCTTCGCAGCTAAGGTTCTTTCTTAGGCTACCCTGCATAGAAAAGAACGGTAAACATAATGATAAAAAAATACGTGAAATGAGAATCGAGAAGGATCTCATTAGAAATTTTAGATTTTAGTTGCGGCAGATTTACCGGGCTTTACTCGCGATTTTTGACATATTCGTCGTCTTTCTTACTCCGATTTATCCACAAGGGTACTCGAAATCGAATTCCGAGTGGGTAGGAAATTTTTTTACCTTTTTTGGCAGTTGATGGTGACTCTAGTGCGACGACGGTTAGCGGTTGGCCTCCTTCTCCAACGTTTGGTTCTTCTTCTTGGCCAGAGGCTAGAGTTCAAATTTTCGTGTGATGCGAAGTATTTATAACCATCCCGCATTGATCTGATCTGTTCATCACGATCGATCTTGTCCATCCGATCGTGCATAAAGAAAAAACAAATCTATATCGTCCATCGTGATTGATCTCAACCGTCCGATCACGCCTAAGGAAGAAACGAATCCAGGCTGTCTACATGCGCGGAATCGATCCTGGGCCGTTCGATCGTGGGGCACGCGACTAACGTGGCCTCCCACGTGGCACTGACGTTAGCGCGTCTTGCCACGCAGTACACTCCAGTTCGTCGAGACTGCTGACTTGACGGTCATACGTGGCCAACTTTTTTATATTTGCACTTTTACTCATTATTTCTAATTTTTCTTTTAAAAATATCCGCAAAAATCCAAATTTTTATTTTTTTTAAAAATTATTTTTAATTTCGTCATTAATTCATTTTTTAAAATTCTACTTAAATAAAAATAAAATAAATTAATCAATTATTTTAAAGTAATAATTAAAAAATAAAAACTTTATCTGATATCATTTTTCGAGTCCGGATATTACATATTCTTTTCTCTATCAAGACAAATTCTAATTAAATGTTGAGTAAGATTTCTTATATTAAGAGAGAGAACTTTTAGAGTAAATGTTTAATGCTTATATCTTAAATTAACCTTAAGCGATTTAGCAATTTGAGATATTAAATTAATGTTGGTCACAAATTGAGTAATTCCTTTAGAGTATCCCATCTAGGGTAGGTTGAACAATATTACTATTTAATAAATTTCTAATATTGAACTTAACCCAATTAACTAAGAGTACATTCTACCCTATCCACGGAGTTTTACTTGTAATATTATGACGTTTGAGTTCTTTAAGTAGCTTGATTGGATATGTGTTTAGTAAAATGTTAGTATTTTCTTAATAATATCATTGTTGGATAAAGTAGAGTTATTCGAAAAAGATTATAATAGAGGTACCTTATTCTCTCGGTGTTCATAGTGAATGATTCAAGTTCAAGAAAAAAAAATTTCTCTAACTAATAAAATTGAGTTATTTGGGACATTCGGTCATGGATAATATGTTACGTAGATTTTTTAAGTTCAAATATTAACGGTAATAAAATTTAAGAAAATAATTCGTAAGAGATATATTTTGAAAACTAAACACAAATAAATTATGGTTTGGTAGTTTAGTATAAATATGTGACTATTTTTTTAGAATAAACAAACATTAAAGTGGAGCAAACTTGATTGTGAAGAACTTTTAATTTCTTATGGCTTAAGAAATATATATATATATATATTTTTTGCTATACTTATGAAATTAGAATATAACAAATATTCATGTAGAATAGTTCAAGTAGATAAAAATTGAGGCCCATAATTTAATTTTCTCTCATACTTTTTTTTATACAATGTATTATATGTTAATTTTGTGTTAAATAAAATTTGAAATTAGATCTCTGAATTTGGGTAACTGCTGAATCAAATTGTTGATTCTTCTTGGTAGCTTTAGTTAGATAAATTAGCATGTTGCTGTGATATATTAATTCTACATTAAATAAAAATTTAAATTTAAATTTTTATTACAATAAAGAATTGCAATAAACTATTGAATCAAATTCTATTAATTTTTTTTAATAGTTTTACTTAAATAAATCAACATGTTACTATGATATGATAATTTTACGTTAAATAAAAATTTAAAATTTATATATCTATTACAATATACAATTGAGATAACTATTGAATGTTTATTTTTCTTAAATGATTTTACTTAGATAAATTAGTATATTACCATGTCGTAGAAACCATTGTAGGGGTGAGACTAAAGGTTTGTTTAGATGATTGTTCAATAAAAATGATATGAGTTTTTCGTAATTTTTTTTATTTGTTTGTATTTTCAAACACATAATACGATTTTTTTACTATTTGAGTCATGATTCTCAATATTATAATTTTTTTTTTATTTTTTTAAATTATCGATTCGATAATTTTATGATAGTTCGATTATTCTTTTTTATTATACTTTTAAATTTTTTTATTTACTAAATTACCTTTGCTTTCACTTCAACCTCCAACTTTCTATTTTTTTTTCCTCTCAAAGATTCCCTCTCTCCCTCTCTTCCTCTCTCTCTCTCTCTCTGTACATTTTCTTGCATGCCAACATTTCCATATATGGAATATTTTAATTGTATATACATATATATATCTTTAATTATATATATATTTATATTTAACAATATATTTTTTTAATCTTTTCTCTTTTTATTTTTCATTTATTATTATATACAATAAAATATGAATAAATAAATAATTTGTTCAAATATACAACCATATCATACTGTCAATTTAAACAAAAATAATTGTCACTATTAAATATTAACAGACCATCATCCAAACATAATTAAATTTGAACATTAATGAATCTTACTCTATTAATAAATTATTATACAAATCATCCAATCAAATTCTAAAAAATTGACATGGCTGAAACTTAGGTGGGAATTGGGCGCCACTCCTATTCAATAAACTAAAACTTATATATACATATATATATATATGTGTATATATAAAGAAAAATGATGGAACGTATTACTGTTGTATGCTGACCTTATTTTTTGTCTTCTCATGATACACATGTTATGAAGTACCAAACTTTAATCGAAGTCAAAGTAATGGTGGCAATTATGCATTATTATTAAATTTTTTAAAAATAAAAAAAAAGAATATGAAGAAGAAGAAGAATTGGCAATTGTGTACTCAATGAAATCTTCCAATCAGAATAAGAAAATGAACCCAATTGGGTACGTGGACCAATCAGAAAACTGTTGTAGAGAAGTACAAAATATGTAGGACACAGAGGATCAGAATCCTTCCAATTAATCTGAAGCTCACTTTCATTGCTGTCTGCGCCAAATGTAGCTCGGGAGCTTATAAATTTACGTCTTTGCTCTCCTCTGCCAACATACTGAACAGATACCGTCATGGAAGAGACGTTTGTTCCTCTTCGTGGGATAAAAAATGACCTCAGAGAAAGGTTGATGTGTTACAAGCAAGACTGGACTGGTGCTCTTGGAGCAGGATTCAGGTATATACACACACACACACACATATATATGTACTTTATGTCTATGTGTACGTATCTCGTCTGTGTTTCATGTTTAGAATTGTGAAGTTTGAGTACAAATTGTTTACTGTTGTATTAAAATTTTGCAGGATTTTTGCTCCTACAACTTACATATTTTTTGCTTCCGCGATCCCCGTAATTTCTTTTGGCGAACAATTAGAGAGAAACACTGGTATTAATAAGCCTATCTTGTTTTAATCATGAAAAAGTAGTAATGGAGATCATTTCATCTCTAACCTTTGACTTAACTGCAGATGGAGTTCTGACGGCTGTTCAAACCTTGGCGTCAACTGCACTCTGTGGGATTATACACTCCATCATTGGCGGTCAACCTTTACTGATACTTGGCGTTGCAGAGCCAACTGTGATTATGTACACCTTTATGTTTAACTTTGCCAAGGAAAGACCAGAGCTGGGTCGAAATCTGTTTCTCGCATGGACTGGATGGTACCCGTGATGTATCATATATATGTATATAAGCACCATTAACATAATAATCTTGTCTTTGCTGATTTACATAATTTCCTTTATGCTTCTGATCTTGCAGGGTATGTGTCTGGACAGCGATCCTGCTCTTCTTTATGGCTATCTTTGGAGCTTGTTCAATTATCAACAGGTTTACCCGTGTAGCTGGAGAATTATTCGGTCTGCTTATAGCAATGCTCTTCATGCAGCAAGCCATCAAAGTAACAACTCAAAATTCTCTGTTACATAATCCAGTAGTTCAATGCTATTATGTCAGCTAAATTCATTAACCTTGATTCTGATTTCAGGGACTAGTAGATGAATTTCGTGTTCCAAAACGGGAAGATCGAAACTCAACTGAATTCATACCCTCATGGAGATTTGCCAATGGAATGTTCGCTTTGGTTTTGTCATTTGGTCTCCTTCTCACCGCATTAAGAAGCCGAAAAGCAAGATCATGGCGATATGGGACCGGTGAGTTTAGTTAGTCATCTAGGGGTGGGAGATTCCAGATCTCTTCATAAAACCTTTTTTAAAAGTCAATTTCTTACAACTTGATCATCTGGGTTACTTTTGGGGAGATTACAGAATCTTTTATTGGTCTTGAAGACTTTTAAAAAGAAAAAGATTTTGTTTTGACAGGTTGGCTAAGAAGCTTCATAGCAGACTACGGTGTGCCACTTATGGTGCTGGTTTGGACAGGTGTGTCGTACATCCCCTCCAGAAGCGTCCCAGAGGGTATCCCACGTCGACTCTTTAGCCCTAATCCATGGTCTCCTGGAGCTTATGCGAATTGGACTGTCATCGAGGCATGCTTCTCATACATATTATTATATATGTGTCTTTAACATACATTTCTCTTTTAATGTTGACAAACAGAAAACTTCAATGACAGGACATGGTCAACGTTCCAGTTGTGTACATAATTGGAGCTTTCATTCCGGCAACCATGATTGCAGTGCTTTATTATTTTGATCATAGTGTAGCATCACAGCTTGCACAGCAGAAAGAATTCAATTTGAGAAAACCATCTTCCTACCACTACGACTTGCTTCTTTTGGGATTTCTGGTATTCTTGAATTTTCTTTTCTTTGCTTCTTCTTCAACTATCAATTTTCCTTTTCTCATTCTGTAAATCGATTGCTCATCAATGACAGACTTTATTATGTGGGCTTATTGGAGTCCCTCCATCAAACGGAGTCATCCCACAATCTCCAATGCATACCAAGAGTCTGGCTACTCTTAAATATCAGGTACATATATATATATATATATATATGTATTTATGACCATACCTCCATTAAAATTACACTAATGGTTCTCCAATACGTGATTTTTTACAGTTGCTTCGAAACCGTCTTGTGGCAACAGCACGCAGTAGCATGAGAAAGAATGCTAGCTTGGGACAGTTGTATGGAAATATGCAGGAAGCATATAGACAAATGCAGACCCCTTTGACATACCAGGAGCCTTCTGCTCGAGTACGAATGTTTCCAATCATATATCAAATATATAATCTTGGAACAAATTAAGCTGATCAAAATATGTTTTAAAATCTTTTTCAGGGACTAAACGAATTGAAAGAATCAACAATTCAAGCAGCTACATCAACAGGCAATCTTGATGCTCCCATCGATGAGACTTTGTTTGATATTGAGAAGGAGATCGATGATCTACTGCCTGTCGAAGTAAAAGAACAGCGTCTTAGCAACCTACTTCAGGCTGCAATGGTGGGAGGATGTGTTGCAGCTATGCCTTTCCTCAAAATGATTCCTACTTCAGTTCTTTGGGGTTACTTCGCCTTCATGGCCATTGAAAGTTTACCCGGTAACCAGTTCTGGGAAAGGATACTACTGCTCTTCACAGCCCCAAGCAGAAGATACAAGTACTTTACACACACACACATATATATATATCTCAATCCTACATGCTTTCCATACATAATTCCCCAGTTCTAATTTATATGACTTGTTTGGTTCAGGGTTCTTGAGGACTACCATGCCACTTTTGTTGAAACCGTGCCCTTCAAGTCAATTGCTGTATTCACCATTTTCCAGACCATTTACTTGCTGATATGTTTCGGACTTACATGGATTCCGATAGCCGGTGTGATGTTTCCGTTGATGATCATGCTCTTGGTTCCTGTAAGACAATATATACTACCCAAGTTCTTCAAAGGGGCACACCTGCAAGACTTGGATGCAGCAGAGTATGAGGAGGCACCGGCTTTGCCATTCAATCTTGCAACTGTAAGTATAATAAGATTTCCTAATCTTTATCATTCCATTACTATCTCCATTCTTTTTAATCATAATGTTTGTCCAAACAGGAGATGGAGCTGGGTGCTGGAGCAGCTTCTGCAGGTGATGGAGAGATATTAGATGAGGTTATTACGCGAAGCCGTGGCGAGTTTAGGCATAGCTTTAGTCCTAAGATCACCAGCTCAACCTCAACACCCGCAAGCGAACTCAAGCCCTTCCAAAGCTCCCCAGGCAGCGCCTTGTACAGTCCTCGAGTACGTGAACTTAGAAGAGGAAGAAGTTCAGGTGGAGGAAACCCTCAAAGTCCAAACAATGATGAATCAAAGCCATCAAGTCTGGGAAAAAGCCCTCTTAACTCTGCATTAAATTAAACTAGCTAGCTGAAGAACCAGTTTCATCAACGTAGCTGTAAATACTGGCTTCTACTCTCTAATTATTAGTTGTTTCCATTGAAGTGTGTTGATTTTGTTTGGGATAATTATTGTAAAATTTTCTGGTCTTTATTATTATAAAATCTACTGCCTAAAAGTTGCAAGAATATATTTTCTTCAATTCAGATGTTCAACATGATTGATCTGTTGTCCAAACAACAAATGAAGATTTACCCACCTGAATTCAATCATCTTGAATAACTCCAAGTGATCATGCCCATGATTCAATACTGAATAATAGCTAATATTATTATATATACATATATGTACATGAATATGAGTAAGTGGGTACTAGAATTAGATTTAGAAAGTGACATAGTGGGTGAGGAGGAGATGATTGTCCTGTCAGTGGTCTGCACTCATAATAAGAATCCAACACAAGAGTCAACCTTCCCAAAAAGAAGAAAACATAATAATGAGAAACAGAAATGGAAGACTGTAAAAAAATTATGACATGTGTTTGACATGAAAAAGGTGTATTCTGAAATGAAAAAGCAATGGTCAGAAATTTTTAGAACCAAGAATTTTAAAGTGAGAAACAGAAGATACTGTGTACTTTTTTTTTTTTTTTTTTAATTTTGAGTTCATGGCTGAAGCAGAGAGTGAGGGAGGTGGGGGAAGAAGATGAATGAGAGAGGGTAGCCATTGACCTTGTTTGGTTGAGCATGAGCTAAAGTCCTTGTCTAATGATTTCAGGATTTATGTCCCTATGTGTAATTCCCACAAGACAAACAACACCTAACAACATCACCTTTTCATTCTGTCACTCTACCAGAATTTCATGATCTCCCTGGAGATAGAGACATTTAACTTCTTGAGAAAATTCTAAATTTAATTTTATTAGTTTTATTTTTTATTGTTTCTAAATCTTTTTCTTTGCAATTTAGTTCTTAAATTTTATAAAATTATTTTAAATCACGATATTTTCCGGAATTTTATTTTTTATTTTTATTTTTTTTATAGAAGCAGCAGAAATTCTTCTTATATTATTTGAGTAATACAAAAAGTAAGTTAAAAAATATAATTTTCTATTTAGGGTTTAAATTAGAAAAGTCAAAGAAATAATTGTTTTATATATGTTATTATTCCTTAATTACACAAAATAATTTTAGATAAATTTAATTTTAATTGTTGTTACTTTCAAATTTCACTAAAAACAAAATAAAAAGAAATTGTATAATTTTTAATAAAAATTCTCACCTTTGAGTCCAAACAGTTTTTATAAATTTAAATACCAATTTCTGTCGTCATAACCTATAATCCAAAAATTAGAATTATTAATCAAAATTAAAATTTGATCCATGAAGAGAAATTTTTAGAATAACTCATTTAAAAAAAAAAAAAAAATGCTGAAGTAAAAATATAAATTTTAACAAAGCATTTGTAAACACAATCCTTTTATAGATCAAAGTGATATTTTGTAACAGTAAATTCCTTTATTAAAATAATCACTGCAAGTTAAAACTCAAACAAGAACTGCTGATGGAGAATGTTGGATCAGAGTGAAAGATTGAGATCTATTTCTCTCTGTTTTCCTCTTTTGGGTTGCTCTCTTATTCTTTGAAGGCTCTGGTAGATGCTCTCACATCATTATGATGATGAGCAAAATCTTCCCATTTGAATTCCGGGATCCAAATTCCTTCTCCTTTTCCCATCTCTTCCCAGTTGGCATTGACAGAAGCAATCGCCATTTTTTGTCGAGCATCTCGAATACTTCTTACCAGACTGTAAAAATCATTCATCTTCTTTTCATCATCATCATCATCAATGGCTGGCTGCCTCTTTTCTCTTCTCTCTTCTTCTACGCACTTTCTCTTCGTCACTGTCTTCCCTTCTGGTTTTTCTTAACCTATAACTTATTATAATCATATAACATACTCTGATTTTCAATGGGAATAATTTAATCTACTTCATATATGTGAATATTTATAAACACGTGATTTTCAAGGGAGTTTTACTTATATGTATATAAACTTTTCTTTAAAAAATAATCTAATAAGTTGAGAGAGACACACACACAAAAAGGAAGATTCTCAATTACATGCACCAAGAAATAAAATTAATTAGTATTTTAATAAATTATTAATATTGCAGGGTTTGAATTTAGGCAATAATGTGAAATGGGTGGGTGATACAATGTTTAATGATGTGAGAAAA